ATTCCTGTTTAACACGGGTGTTTTCAGATATGCACTGATGTTCATGAATAATAAGGTTAGTAGTAATAATAATTAGCAGTTTGAAGCACCTTTTAATGTGTATAATACTATTTGTCCCAGAGTACTTAGAAGATTGTGGTCGCTTGCTCTGGCTGCTGAAATGCAGCCAACTCTGGGATGAAACAAAGTTCGTGTCTTAATACCATGGAGTGAAGTTGTGTGACCTTTTAGGACAGAAAGTGAGTAAGAAGGTTGTCTTATACCTCCAAGTGTGTGCACAGCTTTTTATACAGGAGAAGGAGGTTATTAGAGTAGCTGGTTGCACCAGGCAATCGCTCTTCTGGCCTAGTCCAGATGTGTTTAATTCAAGAGAGAAAGGAATTAGCCAACGTTCACTTACAAGACAAAATGGGAGAAAAAAAAAGAAAAAGAAAAGACCAAGAAGGCACCTCATCCATTCATGCAGAGGTCTCAGTGTTCTCATATATTTCTTAATCCTGCTCTTTCAGCTGCTTTAAATTATAGTTCAGCAAGTTATTAAACAGACATAACTTCAAACACAAGCAGAAAAAAGGACACAAATGGGGCAATTCTAGGTACAATAAACCATGCCTGTCATTCAGAGACCTTGCTCATTCTTGGACTGAAATTGCAGTTAAAATGCAATTCATAAAAATGGCACTGTCTTATTCAGCAGATCTTTCCCCTTGGCTTTTTACTCCTTGTGCAGCTTTACAGAAGAAGTATGGTTAAAAGAGCATGTTATTAATTAAGGATTAGTCAGTTCTAGCTAGGCAGGTCAGCTGGAGTCTGGAGGTGTCTCTGATAGCCTGGTCTGCCTACCAGTGTGTGTATTACTGCTGATAAGATGTGAGAAGGATCAAATAAACAAAAAGAAACTGCCAGTGGCTGTGCAGACACCAGGTGAGGCAAGCTGATGAAAAATGGAGGGAAACCCTCCTTTCTGTAAGAAAGCCACAAGGTCAGACTTAGAGAGCTGAGGTTAGTATGAAGCCTTTGGAAGATCATTGTGCTTTTCACATTAGTAGTATGTTCCTGCCTGGTTTAGGTCTCAGCCACCTGAGTGTTCTCACCGCTAATGCTTTGTCCAGGTGCTACACAGCAGTCACTGAGAGGACAGAGACTGGCTTTATTTAAATAGACACTATTCCTGTCGGCATGTGTTTTGGCTGAGTGCAACGAAAATTGTGTCCTTTAGATACGTCTCTTCCATTAAAGATACTCCAGTTGAATTTGCTCTGCAGTGCTATCAGGGAAAAAACCCTAATATTAAAATTTATTACTCAGTCAAACTGTCCAGCTTTTTACAAGACTAAAACAAGGAGCTGAACTCTACATTATAAGGCTTCCAAAATCAATGCATTTAAATAGCATGCTTAACAACAGGATAGCAACTTCAAATCCCTAGTTATGAGAATTTCTCCTTAGGGTGTTGTAAGATTGGAGGCCAGTGACATGCTTAACTTCTCCAGGAGAAGGCTTATTCCATGTTACCCCATGTCCTGGAATTACATTAATATTTTTGTGAGAGTAGCATGTTCTTTTCTAATGGAGCCAAGTCAGATCAGTCACTGGATGAGAATTTATCTCTATTGTGAAATTTTAGCTGTAGGTAAGCTTAGTGCCTCTGGTCTGCTGCATGCACCTGCAGGACATAATATTTAAGTCTGTAGCTGATGCTAAAGAATTAATAACAAATTACTTGGGAAAGTATGCAGCCCTTTGAGACACAATAGGGTTTCAGACTGCACAAAAGAACTGCTGGATGTCCAGTGACAGAACTAGGAGAGCAGATTTTGTGTGTGTGTACTTCTCTGCGTACTTACAGGAGGTATAATAGTTGCTGATATATTTTGTTAAGATATTGCTAATGGGTCTCATTCTTCTCTGGGTAATTGTTGTGGTTTAACGCCAGCTGGTAACCAAGCCCCACGCAGCCGCTTGCTCACTGCCCCCATGGTGGGATGGGGGAGAGAATCAGAAGGGTAAAAGTGAGACAACTCATGGGTTGAGATAAAAACAGTTTAACGTGGAAAGCAAAAGCCGCGCGTGCAACCAAAGCAAAACAAGGAATTCATTCACTGCTTCCCATGGGCAGGCAGGTGCTCAGCCATCCCCAGGAAAGCAGAGCTCCATCACGTGTAACGGTGACACGGGAAGACATACGCCATCACTCTCAATGTCCCCCCCTCCCTTCTTCTTCCCCCAGCTTTATATGCTGAGCATGACATCATATGGTACGGAATACCCCTTTGGTCAGTTGGGGTCAGCTGTCCCGGCTGTGCCCCCTCCCAGCTTCTTGTGCACCCCCAGCCTCCTTGCTGGTGGGGTGGGGTGAGAAGCTGAAAAGGCCTTGACTCTGTGTCAGCCCTGCTGAGCAGTAACTATAACATCCCTGTGTTATCAACACTGTTTTAATCACAAATCCAAAACATAGCCCCACATACTAGCTGCTATGAAGAAAATTAACTCTATCCTAACGAAAACCAGCACAGTAACCAGTCCCAGTATAGAACAGGATGGTGCAAATCAGACCAAATCAGAGCTACATCAGCTGAAGATTCAGTACTAGGAGTTTGACTTCCCAAGTTCCCCATCATCCTTGTTCCCATTCTTCTTTATTGACAGTCAGCAGCTGTCGAGACCTTTTGATTTATTTATAGAAGTGGGACAAAGTGTGCAGGCAACTCTATGATTATGTCTTAGGTGATATACAAGTAAAAGATAACAGAAAAAGGAAAAATTGCTCAAGTGTTGTAGTGGTCATTGTGACCCAATATGAATTTCATGTATGTTGAAATTTGAGCAACTGACTTTGCCTGGGCAGAGTGTGCTGCTGACTACAGACCCCAAACAAGGCTCTTAAGAGTCCTTAGGACCTTTCCGTCACTATAGGAACTTTCCACTGACTTCTCTGACTTCACTGACCTAAAACTGGAACTTGCTTTTTTACTAGGTAGGAGAATGTCTGTATGCTGGCATTTCTAGAGCAGATGAAGCTATATCATCAAAGCTGATATTTTGTACTATTTAAATAGAACCACCTCCAAAAATATAGTTCACCTGGTATAATCTAATTATGTCTTCTCTGGGAGACTGTGGTGACAGGGATATTGGGAAAGGATCACAGCTCTTCAGCCCCCCTGACAGATGGGATGCAAAAATATGAAGTTAGATGTGGCCAGAACCCTCAAGCACACAATCAAGTCCGTATGGCTTAATATGTCAGCTGATTCCTGGTACCTGCATTGTTTTAGCAAGCAAAAATGTGAGATAAATTCTGTTAACTAAGTCTCATCCATAGATGTTTATGCAAATGTGTGTTCCCTCCTATTTGTGTTGGGATATGAACATGCAGAAGGAGGGTTACAGGAGCTCAGCTCATGTGGGGTATATCATGCTACAGTGACTTCTGTCAGGAATTCCCTCGCTTCGCCTGTGGAGATGCGATGACAGGAGGATTGGGAGTATCTGCAGTCACTGCCTTGATTTCCCTGCTGGTTTTCTGTGCAGAGAGATTCTGCTGAGAAGTATCGCTCCTCTTCTCCTCCTTTTCCACAAAGTCCTGAATGGGACAGCCCACAAGCACAGGCTTGGGGGGAGCATACTACAAGAGTCAGCTTTTGCTCCATCTGGCTTCTGTCCAACCCCACTTTTCTCAGAATGGAGAGAAAACCATGAGCACAGCCCGTACAGGACTTCAACCAAAGCCCTTTGAGGGTTTGGAAACAGTCCCTGTGTTGTTGGGATTTCATTGTGGTTCTTCATTATAAGTTCAGGAATATTTTATTCCAGACCTGCTCAGAACTTTGTTATGAGGTTCACTAAGACACTGATGAGCAAGGGGCATGTAACTATTTTTGCATTCTGTGGAGAGGAGTCCAAGAAAAGCTCATTGTCTGTAGAAATGAATGACCCAAATCTATGACTTGCTTTTATAACTTTTCCCTTACTTCTTTTGGTAGCCTAACGGTTTGTAATTTTTCTGCTTGTTTATGCAGGAACTACCTCTTCAGACTTAGTCTACACAACGTTTCTCTTATTCAGGTATGTTCCTTTTTACTCTCTTGTTTTATTTGACTTGCTAATGAATGTTCTGTAATATTTGATGTACATTTTGCAAAGGCTGTATAGTGTAAATTTGCCCAGAGTGATGGAGCAGGGAGAAGACAAAGTCAGAACCAGCTGCTTATTCCCACTCCAACAATAATACTGGGGGAAGGGCTCTTGCTGGGGACAGCTTGCTCTGCTCTTGATTCTTCAGTGTTTAGGTGGTAACAGGATCTGCCAAAAATATGGCATCGTAAAGAACAAATCATGTAGTGTGACTGCCACAGGCCTAAACACAACAATCAGTAGAAATCCTTGGCTTTCATTAGAGCAACATGTAGGAGAAGCTTTTACTATTCTTGTCCATCCTTATTTTTAGTCATTGCTGGATTGCTGAGGAGCTGTGTTCTGATGAATGTATTACTAAAACTAAGACTGGACTTGCAAGCATTCAGAAGGCAAAATGGGTTGAAAAATGTATGTTACCCATGGATGGAGGCAAAGCAGCTAAAGTTTGAAAGGGCTTGCAAATATCCAGCAGTATTAGGACTTTCCTCCCACTGCACTGAATCTGGAATTGAAAGATGCAGCAAAAATTGTTAGTGAAAACCCCAGCTGCTTATCTTTAAATAAGTAAATGCCTATGCTGGGATATTTACCATCGTCTACAGTTGCTAGAGCATCAAAGATGTATTCAGCATTTTTCAGACAAACTAAAGGGCCTTGCTCCTGTACCTGACCAGGAAAAAAGCCATTAGATTAATACTGCCAGCCGTTACAAGTATAGATGGAAAGAAGAAAAGATGTTTAATGGTTGCAAAATGCATTGAATCTTCCTTTAAAAGGAAAACAAAGTCCAGAGTTACCAATGACAACAATAAAGAGTTAGAGAAGCTGGTACTCTCATTTGGCAGGAGTTTCCCTTTGCAGAGCCGTATTTGCATGGCTGGAAGGTTTCCAACGAGCACACAGGAGAGAGAAGTCTCTGTAGTTATGCGACATGTCATACCTTCTGCAATGCCTGCTATCACACTGCCTGAACCAGCCTCCTGTGCTTGCCTTTCCACGAAACCTAATTGTGAATCTCCCTTATAAGCTTCTGAAGTCAGGCTTGGCTTGGGCCCTTTTCAGTGCAGTGAGTTTCCTTTCCTACGCTGCAAAACATGGGAAGTCTCCTTCTGTGGCACTGGAGGATGCTGTGGGATCTCCGGTTAACATAATGAGCTTAGTTTGCTCCTGCTTTCTGGGTGTATCCGGTCACTTTGCCAAGACTTTTTGCATGACAATGAGAGCATGGAATTGTGTTGACACACGTGTTGGGAATGATGGAAGCGATTGTTTCCCAACCTAATGGTTGCCTAAGTAGCTGCTTGGCTTGGCTCCATAAAGCACATGATGTGGCTTAGAGGCACTCCCTCCCACCTTCCCTTTGCCGTGCATCATTTTAAGGATCAGATCAGAAAGCGAGACAAGAGACACAAGGAATTTGCAGATAGTTCTATAGGGGGTGAGAGTGCAGTTTAAGAAGTAATCACAATGCTAATTCAGGTTGTTTTGTATCTCCTCTTTGCTTGTAAGTAAAATACGGTGTGGATCTTGTCAGGCCTGATTTGAGGATAGTTTTTCATCCTGAGATTGTGGTCTGATTTATTTCTGCTCATGGGACTTCCTCTTCAAGTTGCCAGAGGCATGAAATCTGCTTCAGGGTGCAGCATTGTGTTGACAGACATCTGGTCCCTTGCATTTGTACTTCCATGAGGTAAGGGCAAGAACATGAGGAGCACAGTCTGCAGAAACAGCAGGATATGCTGGTTGTGGAGCAAAGCCTGGAAGTGTGAGGAATACACCTCTCTACAGCAGGGTTAGGTGAAGTTTAAAGCTGTTTTTCACTGCGTGCCCTCGTGCAATCAGCTATATCCCTAGGCTGCACTGTCCCTGTGGGGAAAAGGCAAAGGCACATTTCAGCCCCCAAGCTGTCATGGAAAGGAGAGGAGGCCAAGGGGATTAAAAAAATGACCCTTCTCTTTTCAGCAACGGTGGCAGCAGCATCTCACAGGAGCAATATCCTCTGCCACTGCTTGCTAGCACAGCAAATTCAGTACTTTAGTCTCTCATCCTGTAATGAGTAGATTTACCAGCTCACTCTGCCTAACACATGTTTTCCTTGAGAGTTATCTGTTCTTTATCCAGAAAATGAATATTTCTTGCCATTGAGCAGGCCATAATATTTTTCATCACAGCATTACTTTATTAATTGCTTTCCAATGGGAATAAATGCTTCCTTTTCTGGATTATAATCCCCTTTATGAATACTGCTTATCACAAACCCAGTGTTAACCGTGTTGTTACTCTCTGATTTTAGAAAGGTTTTAAGCTCCCAGACTTTAAAAGACTGTGCTCTTTCCTTCTACCTGTTGAATGACTGTGGGTGCCTTTCATTTAAGCCCAGTGCAAAATCAATTAAAATGAACAAGAGTTCTCCATCAACTTTGAGGATCATTTTGTGAAGCCATCACTCCTGAAAATACATTTTAGGAGTCTTTAGTTCCAGAAGCGAAAGTTATAGTATTACTTCTGAATCTGTGTTGGATTGATATTAGCATAAACTTAATTTTGTAATCTCCACAGCAAAAAACCACTCTGGAGTATCATGTAGCCACTCCACGTAGCTGGGATAGGAAGTTATTGTCTTGGAATTGCAGTAGACTAAAAGACAAAACTTAGCATTATATGGGCAAGTTACTGGATAAGAGCTGTGTAGAAAGATAGCATTACCCTGTAGAGCAGCTGAGATTTCAGGGGAGAGGAGGAAGAGAAGTAGACATTAGGATGCGTCAGCTGTTGGACCATATTATACTTTCATAAAAGGGTAATTTCTTTTCCTTTCTTAGCTCCTAGCTCTTTGTCTTGGATTCCTTCTCCAGAATTAGGTGCTTTTGTCCCTACTGCTCTACCATACGCCAAAGTTTGCTCCTGACTGAATATTCTGTTAGTTCTGCTGAGGTTGTTTCTCTGAGACTGTAGCACTGAGATTTTACATGAGAACCAGTGAGTGGAGTGGAGCAGAAACTCAAGCAGAACAAGCTCGTTTTCTGCTTCACAGAACAAAATGTCTCAACTTCTCCGAGATTCCCCCCACCCCGTCGTTTCTAAAACATATTTCAGAAATTCCATTCAGGACCTGAGAAACCTTTCACCAAGTGAGTTTTAGTTTCATGAGAAACTTCGGTGATGGTTAAGGGGTTTTTTTCCCTGAATGTCAATATCCAGAAGGAAATTGAGGCCAAGGTATTTTGGGGATCACTCATGATTTTTTTCTGCCTGTCTTTCTTGCCAAAACTGAGGCACATTGTTAAAGGATTTCTGAAAATCAGCATCTTGAGATGTGTCAGATGGGGTATCCAAAAGCACCTGTTAAAGTTTGGAAACTTTAGCGTGTAGCATTCAAATTCTTGCAGCAGTCAACAAAGGTAATTTTAAAATGGTTACTGTTCTTAATCTTTTAGCATCTTTTTAAACAAAATCCCTGCAACATGTTTCATCTCCATCTTTAAACGGTCCTCTTGTGTGCATTGTAAGCTCTAAATGTTAGACATTTTATAGAACACATTTTAAAAATGATGTACAGTCAGAACACATGCTGTTTAATTTACGCATTGGCTTGAAACAAGGTTAGCTCCTAATCTGCAGCTTTCACAGTGAGGCCATAGAAAAGTCCGTTTTATACTGGAGTTTGTAATTAATAGAGTAGGTGGAAGGGTTATTTTAAAAACATAAGCCTTTGAGCAAATTTTTAAAAATGCACGATGCTGATTAGGACTTCTTAGCAAGGAATGCTATTCTCTGGTGTGAGTTAAAAGCAGGCTATTTGGCAGGCGTTTCATAAATCCCAGTGCAGTGCCTACCCTCTGTTCACCCTGATTTTACCTGGAACTTACGAGTTCTCAATAGAACCGAGTGGGAAATTATTTTTCCAACATTTTGAGATGCCAAGGTATTTTGCACTGAGATGAAAACAAGACTTTTTGACATCTTTGTAAAATCTGAAAGAGAAGGAGATAGGCACATGGTTACTTGGGATGCCAATATTCTGGGTCAAGCTGAGAGAGGATTTGAATCTGCATTTCTCTCATCTCAAGCGATTGACCTGGCTTGTTTGGGGCATCTTTTTTTCCTTTCCTTTTCTTTATGTTTGTGACCAAAAATTTCCCTCTGGATCCAAGGTTCCTTACTGGACTCCTGTCTGATAAGTTTAATAAAACTGTTAGAATTTTGTAGAATGTTTGTATCATGATTATATTTTTAATGGAAGATCTCTTGTGAAAAAGCTTCTAACCAGCCCTGTGAAGCTTGTGTGTTGACGTGTTTTGTTATATAATCTTAATAGTATTTAAAATACTTGAAGAGTATGTATGTATTCCCTTTCTTAAAAATAAAACTGTATTTTAACAGGATAGAAAAGAATAAATGAGTGCACCTATTGCAAAACTATTCGGAAAACATAAATTGTTCAATCTGTTAAGACACAAAATTTTGAGATTAAAATATGCTTTAATTAACAATCTAATGTTGTTTCCTGAGGACAAAAAAAATTGAGTGAGTTCAGAGGCAGAGCATGTTAGTTCCCCAGTAGCCATAACCATGAATTTGGTGGGGTTGCCTGTGGAACTACACACGCTCTATTACCACCTGGGCTGCCGGAATCTGTATCTCCAATTGCAGACCTACAATTACCCCACTGCAAAACATGAAAATGCTACAAACCACACAACTTTATTTGCTTTTTAAATTTTGCTCCAAATTTATAAGTTGAGAGCACAGACATTCATGTGGGCACTTCAGAGAATGTTACCCAGTCCCTAGGGCATAACTTGGCCAACTCTCAGTCCTACTGGACGCGTAAGACTTAAACCCAGTCTTAAAGTCAGCAGTATGCCTAAGCAGCATCAGCTCTTAAGGCTTGATATGAAACTTATTGAAGTAATTTTTTTTCTGTT